AAAAAAAAAAAAAGGTAAAGTAAATGCACTTAACTTTGCTAGTACGTTTTTTTAAAACTGTGACTCTATAACTTATGGTGAAACTAATTTTACCATAGACGACTTGAGAAAAACAAGCGTTAAATCCCCATGGTATATTTCTATTCATAGTATTACCTAAGTTCTTTAAAATACTCAAAATATTTCTAATATTAAAAACCATTCCCATTCATCCATTCATTCATTTTCTAACCCATTTACTACAGGTTGGGTCCAGGTGGTCAGAGTCTGTTCTAGCAGCTCGGAGTACTAGGTGGAACCCACCCTGGACAGGACATCTTTCCATCCAAGGCACACTCACACCCACCCTCATTAAGATGGATAACTGAGCAAGAGCAATGAACCTAACATGTACATCTTTGGAATGTAGGAGAAATCCTGAGTATCCAGAGAAAATCCATAGACCTGAGGAGAACAAGTAAAGTCCATACAGACAAGTGACCCTACCAGGAATTGGTTATTCTCCCCCTAATATGAAACAATGTTGTTGTATAAAGATGTTATCTGGGATTCTGGCATCTTTAACCTAGCATTAGTTTTTTTTTTTTAAAGATTTATTTATTCATACAGAACTGGGGTACAGGCCAGAGATGCGGAGGGTGAGAGTATTCAACAGGGACAGAGTGGGGAGCAGAACAAGCAGATCGATGAAGTACACTGCTGAGGGGAGCAGTCAGGAGAGGTCTGCCGCGCCATGTGGATCTCCTTCCGGGCAGGCGGGGATCGAACTCATGCGGAAATGGCTTAAGTTTCTTAGTGCAGTGCTTTAACCCGCTGAGCCACCAGGGAGGGCCCCCTAGCATTAGTTTTAAGAGTAAATATGATTGCTGTTTCAGAGAACAATTTAAAATATAATTTTTCTGGGTAGCAACTGTTAAAGGGCCAAATTTCTGTACATAGCAGCTAAGCTATAATGTTTTTTTTTTTTGCCACCCTGGTGGTGCAAAGAGCTAAGTCTCAGCACTAAAAAACTACCTGCAGCCATTGAAGCCTAAGTTCTATCCCTGGCCAGGGAGCTGATGTACATGGTATAGCAGACCTCTCCTGTCTCGCCCACTGCTCCCCTCAGCAGTGTATTTCAATAGATCTGCTTGTTCTGCTTCCCACTGTGTCTGGTGAATGCTCTCACTCCCTGCACTCTGGCCTACACCCCAGTTTTTGTAGCATAAAGAAAAAAAAAAAACTACAATGTTTTTACTATCCAGATTCACTTTAGTACCTTGTGAAGAACAATTTATGAAATAAAATGCTTACTGCAGACCTGCATTTTTAACAAAATTATATACTCTATACAAAATCACAAAAATTAATTCTCTTTAATGTATAAAAGCTGTTAAATTTTCATTTTTAAGTATTACCCATTTTGAGGAAAATAAAAATATCCTAGTGGAGACCATATACCAAATCGAGTCAATATGTTAAGCTAAAAGAAAATTATCTTGTAAAATGTCCCCATTTAAGCATACAGAAAATAAATATCAAGTCTTTATGTTCTGAAGGCAGGATGTAAAAGGATGAAAACATGTAAGAGAACAATCATAAAGCCAAAATACTACAAACTGTGTTCAAAGTTAACAGTTAATGTTAGTTTAAATAAGATAAAAGGACCAGCTAACATAAGAGAGCAATATTCTGGGTATATACAGAGTTATTTTAGGCAAAATATAAAGCTATAAAGATGGCTCTTTAAGAAACAAAATAATCCAAAGGTAGTTAAGATTGAAATAAGTACAATTATTTGTTACTGGGAGTTGCTTTTCCAATCAAGTTCAGATGCAGAAGAAAAAGAAATCATTAAATTCATGAGAATGGGTACTGTTAAGGCAAAAAAGGAAAACAACTGAGAAATCAGAACTAAAATGCAACTTTCATGAAGTTTGGTATCAATGAAACAGGAATAGTAATTCTTGTTCCATATACTTTACATGGTGGTGTTGGAAAGTAAATGAGATAATGTATATGGAAGTGCTCTAAGAATCAAAGTATTTCATAACTATAAGATGAAAACAATGACAAGAAAGGAGACAGACGGGTATATACAAATAAATTCCTTTGTTCTTTTATTGTGGGAAGCTAAAGATTTCAGTAAAGAAGCTGTACAAATTAAATGTCCAACGGGATCTAATGCATCATTTTTTTTTTTAAATAAAGATTTGTTTACTTATGCATACAGTACTGGGATATAGGTCAGAGATATAGGGACAGTGAGAGGATTTACCAGACAGTGGGGTACAGAACAAGGCAGACTGACAAAGTACACTGCTGAGCCACCTCCCTGACTGGGGATTGAACTTGTGGCTAGCTTTGTAGTGCTGTGATTTAACCTGTTGTGCCACCAGGGAGGAGGGCCCAATCTAACAGATCTTGAAAACTGGCTACTTGCCTTTGCTTCACCTGCACCTTAGTTTTGTTCTTTTATTTTGGTACTAGAATTTAAAGTGAGAAGTCAGCAAGAGGTCCCAAAATTCTGCAGGACTCAACTAGATTTAACCTCAATTTTTTGTTAGTAAAAAGATTATTCCAACTACATGATTCTAATCAATGAGAACAAAGACAAAGCAACTTCTATATAGGCCAGTAGCTGAGTTTTTACAGGCCATATGAACTCTGCTGCAAACTCTAAACTCCTGTTGTAACCTGTGATTGAGTTATCTTTGAGGTTATGAAAACTATAAGAGGACCGTTAAATATTCATCTTGTAACAATAAGATAGGCAATAAAAAGTAAGTCTATAGAAGACAATCTGTACTACTTCAATGAACTCAGGAACTCTTGTTTTTGAGGCCAGTAAATCAGATTTGATCAAATTTGGTACAAGAATCAGAAACTAAATGGTGAAGAATCACCCTTTTATAGAATCTTTCAAAATATTAAGGAAGTGAGACTCACCAAAGATTATTTCAAATAAAATAATAAGAAACAGGATTCTTCCCAAATACAGACATCATACTTTAAATGGAAGAAGTACAATTTTGCCAATGTTAATTATTTATGTAAGTAAAAGAGAACATTCACATTTTATTAAATATTAATTAGTTCCAACCAATTAATTAGTCCTGTTAAGAGGACTTTTGCCAACATCAACTATGCAGCAAAACAGCATTTACACTCAATTCAAGAAGCAAGACATTTATGAATGCATGATCAGTAGTAGAAAGGTGGGATCTTTCTTGAAGGGAGGGAGAATGAGTATCAGTTCATTTTATCTCTGACATCTTAACTAAGAATAAAAGCTCAAAAAAAATTACGAATTCTTAAAAAAAAATTTATTTTTATTTTATTTATGGATACCTCTGAAGTGTAGGCCAGAGGTGCAGGGGGTGAGAGGATTCATCAGAGACAGAGTAGGGAGCAGAACAGGTGGATCCACTGAAATACACTGCTGAGGGCTCTCCCTGGTAGCCTAACATGTTAAAGTGAAGTATGTGAATCTATCCACAGCTGCTGCAGCATCAGTTTGATTCCCCCACCAGGGAGGTGTGGCAGACCTGTTCTGACCCTAACTCCCCTGCACCCCCCTCAGCAGTGTATTTCAGTACATATGCCTATTCCGCTCCCTACTCTGTCTCCAGAGGGTCCTCTCACCCCTGCCCCCACACCTCTGGCCTGGACTCCAGTTCTTGTATGCATAAATAAACAAATCTTTTTTTTGTTTTTCTTTTTAAAGAAAGAAACACACTGCGGAGGGGGGCATGGGTGAGACAGGCTGTACGATGCGGGTCTGCTCCCTGGATGGGATTGAATTTAGCAGCAGTGGCTAGAGATAGTTTGACAGGGCTAGGACTTCACCCGCTATACCGCCAAGGAGGCCCATGAATTTTATGAATTCTCAACAAGCTTCTCTAACTAAGTAGGGCTTTGTTTATTTCATAATTACAAGTTTAAATATAGAGAACAAATAAATCATAGTCACATGAATTCTTATATAGAAGCTAAACAAATTAATTCTAGAAACTTATTCAGAAGTATGAATAAGTCTGATATTTCAAAATTCAATGTGTAACTTTTAATAATTTAAAGTTCACAGAGCACAATCTACCCATTCTAGATAAGAAATTCTATTTTACCTTTCCTGGGATAAAGCAACAGAGGTTGGAATCCACATACTTCATGAAAGTCATGTTTAGTAGTGATAGCCTTGTTTCAACTGCAGCAAGGATGTCTGCATGACGAGCTAGTGAATGGTTTCTCCTTTCCGACTCTCTCCTATAATTAAAAAAAAAAAAATCATTAAAGAAGTACTGTGGACTACAATGTAATCAAAATGCTTTAATGAAAATGGTCTAACAATTACATGTTAATTCAGAAATCTGCAATTGAGCCATAACTTAAAACTAATGATAAGTGAGTCACTATGTCCAAAAATTCTTGCCAAGGACTGGTACCCACTGATAAAATATTTGGGGGAAAAATGGATTTTTTTTGTGTTATACTAAGTCATTGGATTCAAAGAAATCAGATAAACAATCACACATGGACATACATACAAGCAACTATAGGTGACATTTTATATATATATTGGACATTTTTGGTCTGTTCTCACTTAAAATAGTTCTTAAGGTTTATCTATACTAGAGCACATATTACTACTCTTTACTTCTGGCAAATAACCTTATGTCAAGATACCATGATTAAGATTACGTGTCAGTTGATGGATTTGGGGTTTCTATTTTTTGGCTATGAATAATGCTACTATGAATACTCCCTTAAAAGTTTTTGTGCAGACATATTTTTATGCCAGGTCATATAGTAACTCTGTTTAACTTTTTGAGGAACAAACTCTTTTCTAAAGTATGTACTCCACTTTACAATTTTCCCAGTTACAAATGAAGATCTAATTTGCCCATATCCTTCCCAACCTTTGTTATTTTAGCTCTTCTAATGAGTGTAAAGTGGTATCCCACAATGTTTTGATTTGCAATGCCCTAATTTCTAATTATGTTGAACTTCTTTTGTGTGCTTGTTGGTATCTTTTTCAAAGATAAGCCCATTTAATCTTTTGCCCATTTTAAAATTTGGTCATCTTTTTAATGTCAAGTTATAAAAATTCCTGATACTAGCTATATACAAATCTTGCATCAGTGATATTTTGAGAGCTGAAAATGTTTTCTCCTTGTCTTCTCATTTAAAACAAAACAAAACTATTTATGCATATAAGAGCTGGGGTGTAGGCCAGAGGTGCAGAGAGGTGAGAGGATTCACCAGACAGGTGGATCTACTGAAATCCACTGCTGAGGGGAACAGCGAATGAGACAGGAGAGGTCTGCTGTGCCATGTGGGTTTGCTCTTTGGCCAGGGATCAAAGTGCTGCAGTGGCTGGAGATAGCTTCATAGTGCTGAGACTTAGCCCTTTGTACCACCCAAGGAGGCCCCTCTTTCATTTTCTTAATGGCGTCCTTAGAATCAGAAAAGTTTTAAGTAGTGCTTAAGTCTGGTTGGCCTGCATTGTTTTTTTTTTAATTACTTATACTTTCAGTATCAAACCTAAGAAATAATCACCTACTAGAAATCCAACTTCATGAAGGGTTATGTTTTCGTCTACATGTTTTATGGTATAGCACTGACACCCTTAAGTTTTGATTTTGAGTTATTTTTTTGAATAGTATGAATAAGGTGTTCAATTTCATTTTCATGTCACAGCATCATAGAAAACAGTAGTTTTTTTTACTGTTGAACTGTCAGCATCCCTGTTCAAAAGCAAGTGACTAAAAATGCTAAGGATTTATTTATGGACTCTCAATTCCATTAACCTATATCTATATGTGTGTCAGTACTACACTGTTTCAGTTACAGTAGCTTTGTGTTAAGTTTTGAAATTGGAATATGGCATCCTCTAAGTTTGGTCTTCATTTGTCCAGATTTCTTATTCTGAGTCTTTTGTATTACTAGAGGAATTCAAAGTTCAGTTCATCAGTTTCTGCAAAAAAGACAGTATTTTAAGAGGGATCATAATAAATATATAGATCAATTTGGAAACTGTTGCTATTTTTACAGTAAGGACTTACCTAATCTATGAGCATAGGATATTTTGTCATTAATTTCTTTTAACAGTGTTTTGTAGATTTTTTTTTTGGTAGATTTTAACACACAAGTCTTTCACTACTTCTGTTGTATTTGTCACTATATTTTTATTCTTTTTGATGGTACTGTAAATAGAACTATCATTCTAACTTCATTTTTAGATAGTTTATTACTAATGTATACAATTATACAACTGACTTGTATATAAATTTGGCATATTGTATCTCTGAACTGGTTTATTGCTCTAACAATTAATTATTATAGTCTTATATACAAGGTTCACATCATACAATATCATGTCATTTGAAATTAGAATGTTTTATTTTTTTCCTTGTCAATATGGATGTCTTTTATTTTCATATCTCACTGCCATGGCTAGAATTTCCAGTAAAGTAAAATGTTGAACAGCTATGGTGCAAAAGATAAACCACAGCAAAAGTCACTTATAGTGATCCCTGTACCCTTTGTTTTTATAAAATCTTGGAAACCATTAAACTGTGGGACTTAAAAAAAAATTAAATGAAACCACCAATTATAAATTATTGCTAACAATAACACACCTTGGAAGTTGTGCTTTAACTTGTTTCTGACATAGATTATGGTACCTCTCCACTTTTAGAAATCCCTGATTTAACATTCTCTGGCAGACCAAGTCCATTCTTTTACAAACCTATGGGGAAAGAAAAGGAGAAAGAATTTTAAAAAGTAACAATCAAATTATCATCAATTTTGATCATGACTCAGACTAGAAACTCTTTTTATCTTTTTACTAATGTTGTCCCCCAATTTGCTGTCTGGATTTTTGAATTAGTATATGTGGGTGAATTGCTCATTAAAATTCTTGCACTACTGCATTAAGAAACTAGTATTATGCATAGGCAAGAAATACTTGACTTCTATTTAGATATTTATTAAGTGTTCTGAATATATTCCAAGTATTATGGTCAGGTAACACCCTGAAGATCAGTACAAGAAAATAGCCAAAGGCCTTTTTCTTTCAAGATTTATTTATGCATATAAGAGCTGGGGTGCAGGCCAGAAGTGTGGGGGGAAGGGGAATGGTGCTGAGAGGATTCATCCAGAGATAGAATGGGGAGCAGAACAGGCAGACTGACTGACATACACTGCTGAGGGGAGCAGCTGCTGGGACAGGAGAGGTCTGCTACACCATAAGCATCACTTCCTCAGTCAGGGATTGAACTCTTGCTGCAGTGGCTTCAGATAGTTTCAGATAGTGTTTCAACCAGTTAGCCACCAGGGAGGGCCCAAAGGTTTTTAATGTTTGAAAGAAAATTCTCCTCGAGCCAAAAATGTTTACTTAAGCAGAAATTAACTTCTCACAAAGTTTTTAAGAGCTTTTACCAGAGTAACAATTTTATTTATTTCTAGTGATGTTTTTGTTGTTAAATGAAGCTTTATTGTAGGTGACAGCACACACTTGAGAGTGAGCGCAGGCAGATTCAGAGAAGAGTCCCTCTTCTAGGGATCTGAGATAATTACAGAGAGTTCATGATGGCTAGGGTTCTATCCTAAATCGTATTATATCCTCAAAAATATTTTAACATATAACTAACTGTTCTGGAACTTGGTGTCTTTATACAATAAAAACAGGATGAAAAGTCAGAAGACTCATATTTATGCCCAATTTTTATGCATTCTTGAGCAAGTTAACTACCATTTGAAAGCTGGAATCAGTCATTTGTAAAATGTGAATAATATCTAACTCAAAGGGGGTATTATTAGAATTAAATGAAACAAAACATACTCATCAGTTGGTAAACTCTAAAGTGCTATGTAAAACACTATGCTTCATACCCTTAGTTGCTATATTTCTAGATAGCCCAGTTTCTTTGATTTTTCATTAAAAAAAGAAAAATATTTATTTTATTGATGCATCCAAGAACTGGGTTGTAGGCAGCAGTGGAGGGGAAAAGAGAATTCACTAGAGACAGAGTGGGGAGCAGAACAGGCAGATGTACTGAAATACAATGCTGAGGTGAGCAGCATGGGGGGACAGGAGAGGTCTGCTGCACCACATGGGTCAGCTCCTTGGTTGGGGATGGAACTGATGAAGCAGTGACTGGTGACAGCTGGATAGCACTGAGACTTTAACCCCTGAGCCACCAGGGAGGTGCCTAAATATTTTTTTCTATCTTAATGAAACTTACTGTACAAAATTATCTGTTCTTTGATTCCTGAGAAATTTGCAGTGTCACAATCATCAACCTGAAAGTTCATTTTCACTGTATAGGTAGGTGATTGTATAGATGTTAAGACATTGTATAGATGCAAGACATTGAGACAAATATCTATCAAGGTAAAGTCAGTCAGGCAGGTGCATTTTCTGTCTAGAACCCAAACACAAATGCCAGAGAGTAATTTGCTTTATTTTGAAAATACAAGAACACCACCAGGATAAAAATTCCAATAGAATGGAAATTAATGAAGATTTAAATAGTCTGATAATAAATACTAGATACTACCTAAATCACAGCATGCCAAATGAATTCAGGAACACAGTTCTTTTCAATTCAATTAAAACAAAGTCTTAATTTAATGTGCTAAGAATAATGCTAATAAATGATATTTTAAATATGGCAGAATTTATTTCTAAGTTAGCAACATTTGTCTAAGTTTAGAAAACACAAAATATAAGCACAGGTTTTATTTGCTATTTGTATGATATCACATAATGACGGGAAGAATGAGTAAAAATTTAAATAACTTCATAACTATAATGATAATATTTCTAATCTTATATACTTCCCAAAAAGGTCTTGATAATCTCTCTGGGATTCCTGGGCCACACACTGAGAACAAGTGCTCTAACCCTGAATAACTATGTTGCCAAAAACACTGGCATAAAAGTGAGGTAAAAGAAGCTGTTAAGGTATTGTTAAAGGAAGGTAAAGAGTATGTGTCATGAGGCTAAAAAAGAGAAAAGGTTAAATTCTTATCTTTCATAATATAAAATCAACATGTAATATTAAATCAAAGAAAAATGCCCCAAAGTCTTAAAAGTGGTGCCTCAGAAAAATCAAAGTTGGGAACTATAAAACCCTCAATTTTCACTGTTTGCCATTAAAACTATTTGTTGTGAGGTATCCTCTTAATATAACTTTGCCTTTTTGGACTGTACAGACCTCTGATAATTTGAGATGAAATAATGGAATTAAATTATTGTGGTAATAATCTCACAACATTATGACACACTGTATACTTATACAGCACTACATCAACTATGTCTCAGTAAAATTGGAATATGTGTTTGTGAGAAAAAGGTCTATTATTACCAGTGGTAATAAGTTACTACTACTGTCTAAATAATTTATTATACTAGAGTTTTGCTATTGGGATCTAGTTTTTAATAATTTAGAAACACAACTGGATATATAAGTACCAACTAGGACAATTACTTATTGGGTGATGAGAATGTGAATAAATAACCAGGTCTGTTAACCAAGGAAGACTTTGTATGATACAAGATTTGAATTAGGCTTTGAAGGAAATGAGAGCAAGGACTGTTAAATTAGAGATGACATATGCAAAGGTACAAAGTCTGGAATGAATGACCAGGATGACTATTTCTGAAGGAAGATCAGATGTGTAAACAGCAATCAGATGAGAAGAATAAAATTTCCCATTTTAAGTGGAACTGACAATAATGAGAAACAACTATGGATCTTTCCAACAGTAGAAAGATCTGGTAGTGGGACAGTTGATAGGTCATTTTTGGTAGCAACTATGTTAGGATAAAGGATGGTTTTAGAAATTTTACAATGAGATTGCTGAAAGCACTGTACACTAACCCCAAATAAAGAAGTGAAAAGATAAGAAAATAAAGGCTTACAGATGAACCTCCAACTGTCATTTATAGTTAGAAGTTGTAAAAAGACCAGATAACAGGAAGTCACAAAGACAAATTAGAATAGCATTACAAAAGTCAAAAAGATTTTAAGCATTAGTTGGTACTATAAGAAAAGAGTATTTAATGTAACACTCGTCCTTTCATGAATGTTCTGTAAGCACTGACTGACCAACAGCGCAAAAACAGAACAGATCAAGTATCTTTTGTTGAACATTCAGACAGAAGCAAAGTGACCTCTGGAAAACAGAAATATACTAATTTCCCCTAAGGTAAGCAGTTTAAAAGTAAACGCTGACAATGTATTCTATCTTGCAATACAAAAGCGTCTCATGTAAATAAATTGTAGCTCTACATCAGTGATTTCCCAAGGCTAAAGGAAAGAAAATTTATTTCAATGGTTATTAAACAAAACAAAAATCCTAGCAATTTGGCAAATTACCAAGGCAGTAAAATATAATTCTAATAAAGACTATGAACTATGTCATAAACAATGGAACAACTAGAAATTAGTAAAAATATACACTATAAAAACAAAAGGAGTAAGTCAGTTTACAATAAAGACATTTAGCCTAGGTCTCTGTTACTTGCTGTTCTAATATGTGCATATAGATGTGGTTTTCCTTATTTACTTTTCAGTTTTAAAATGTCATGTTTGTTCTTTTTATTATTTTCTAATTTTAGAAAATACTAAAAATTTGTATTTGTATTTGTTCAGAAGTATATTCCAATTTGTTGTGATACCATGCTCCTTAACAATGCAAGACATACAACACAAATTTGTGAAAACCACAATTTTCCTGTTAAAACCTAATCTTTAACATGAAATCTTAGTTAATTTTAACATATATTTTTCATATTTCAGCATTTGACAGTGGAATGGTCTTACAATATACATAGCAACAGCTGTAATTGGTAGCATTCCTTTCTCAGATGTCTTAGGGCCTGGAATATAGTATGCTGGAACTTTATAATTTTAAGATGTTGTAGAAACTTTCAAGATGCTATCAATTTTAGTAAAAGTTCCTCTAGAAAAAAAAGGGCCTCCCTCATACAAGTTAATTAAGATGTATTCAGATTTCAAAAATGTTAAAACATGAAACAGAATCAAGGAAATATTGTAATAGAGTGAAACTCTTTATGTAAGCATTTGATACTTTATAATTCTCAAATACATTTTCTCCAATTGATTCAGAACCTATCATCAAAGATTAGCCCCACAAACTGAAAGGAGTTTAAAATACCACAATCTATTCATTTCTTTTCACTGTGAGAAAAACTGAGACTATGAGAAGTTATATGATTTATTTAAGGTCTTCCAATTACTCAGGTCTTATAATTTCTATATTTTTAAATCGGTAGTTACTTTGTACAAAATAATTATTCTCAGTTGATTAGGTTCTCATCTTATGGTTCCACAGAAACTGTTGGCATGACCCTAAAAAGTAAGACTTCTTGAGGCAATATGGGATTTTATGGACATTAATGGGGTTTTGTCCCAGGAACTACTGACAGATCAAAGTCTTCCTGTAATCCTCTCAAAATTCATGGGGAACAATTAAGACAAACCATCTGGTTTGAAGTCTTCAAAAAGTCAATGACATAAAAATAGTGGTAGGATTATTCTAGATTAAAAAGATTTATTAAATTCAAAACTCTTCCATTCCCCTTCTACAAAGCTATATAAAAGATTTTGGGGACAACTAGGCAATCTCACCATAAAATGTAATGTTAAATCCACTGAACTGAACATACTCAGATTATATGAAAGACATATTTAGGGGTAATATCTCTATATTTACATC